TAAGGACTTGGAGTCCATGGATATTGACAGATATGGCAGTGGGGTGAACCTCCAAGAAAGCCAGAACACGAGCTCTTTAGATGTGGTTCCTGATCCTTTGTACGTACTAGATGTATCTGAAGGCTTCTCCATCCTACCAATTATAGCTGGCAAACTTGGGCCAGTTAAAGCCTACAGCTCTATTGAGAAAGAACAGCATCAGGCAGTCCTTAATGTAATTTCAGAAGCTAATAATTTCCCTAAGGAAACTGTAGAATTTTGGCTCAGCCATTTAGAAGATGAAAATGTGGTGCTACAGAGACCCAAATCCGATAAATTATGGAGTATTATTATTTTGGATGTTATAGAGACATCTGGTTTAATCCAGCAGGAGGTGATGGAAAAGGCTGCAATATCCAGGTACAGTACAAATGGACAAAAGGAATTTGGGGTATCTGTAATTATCTGAAATTTTTTGAAAGCATTCCTTCTAGCAACAGAACTAATGTCTCTTCTATAGAGCGTTGAAAAAGGTTGTTTTCTGAACAGATTGAACTTGCACTTCAGGAGTAAATTTCCCAGAGCATCTGGAATGTCTGATGTAACTAGAAGTGTCAAGATCTCACTTCCATAGGGTGCTTTATTTTTTTGCATGCAATAATACAAGTGAAAGATCGTGCTGCTTGGTTTGCTAGGAAGTCCTAGAATAGCCACTATCTTGCTAATAACTGAGGTAGCAAAGTTGTTATTTTTTTTTTTTTTTTAAAAAAAAAAAGCTCCATCATGTGTACATGGAGCTATTGTTGGCATAAAGTGGTATTGCTAAGAGACAGATACAGAGGATTAGAACAGCCAGGGAGGCACCAAAAGAGCTACTAGATATTGGTGCTTTGAGTAAGTCCTGCTACCTTCGTCTTGAAATATCATTGTTTCCAATACTGACATGGAGAAAATGTTGCTTAGTACAGAATTACTGGAGGAATTCTGATTTCTGTACAATACAGCTGTCTGGTCAGATGGATCAAACTCAAATGCTTTTGAGCACTTGACTTCATAGGAGGAACTAATGTGTTTTTATTTATGTATTAAATGTAGGTGTTCTTTCCTTACTGTTGAATAATAAGCTTTAGAGGTGAAATCTCTTTCATTTTACAGATGTTTACTTCAGAGCGGAGGGAAGATATTTCCACAGTATGTGTTGGTATATGGGATGCTTGTAGAATCGCAGTCTTTGTTGCTGGAGAGTGCTGTTCAAGGCACAGAACCAACTCTTGGGTTTAATATAGCTCCTTTTATCAACCAGTTCAAGGTATGAAGTTGTTGGATGTCTTCCAAGTACAGTTCCAAAGCATGCAGCTGTTTAATTGTTTAGCTTCGGTATAAAATGGAAGAAAACTAAAAAGCTGAAACTTCATGTTTTGATATCTAGAGAGATTTCTGTGATCAGGAAGGAGCTTTGAGATGAAGCTACACAGAAAAGCTTATGGTTTTTTTTTTTTTTTCCTGGAAATAGAGTGAGAATTTGTCTGAGTAATGGGAGATGTAATGGGAATGTACAGAAGAATGACTGTGCTCCTAGGTGTTCTGTCTCCTTCGTCACCTTGTATTTCAACGGTGACATTTCAGAAGGGGTTAAAATGGTGCATTTGGCGTTTCGGCTGTTTCTTACAGACACTACAATAATTTTTAGAAACTTTTGCATTATAATTATCCCAAACTTACCACTTCTGAATGACTGTTGATGTCTAAAGGTATGGTCTGTACTCTTAGGTACCAGTTCGTGTTTATTTGGATCTCTCTACATTACCGTGTGTACCTCTGAGTAAGCCAGCAGAGCTATTAAGGCTAGACCTCATGAATCCTCTGTTAAACAGTGGAAGCAGAGAGGTGAAGGTGAGTTGTGTGTATGTGTGTATATAATTACATACAATTTTAAGTGCACTTAGCTGTCATTCTCTAGAACTGCCCAGTTATTGTTCATCTGGGCTGAAAATTTCATTGCAGAATTTACTTCTCTGCAAATGTCTCTGATTGAAATGAAGTTCAAACTAATCATGAATGAAGGTCAAACTAATATTTTAAATGTTTTTTAGGTACAAATTTGTAAGTCTGGCCAAGTCACTGCAATTCCCTTCTGGTATCACATACATCTAGATGAAGAGCATAGTTTGAATACATCTGATGAGTTCTCGCATTGGAAACAAGCTGCAGTTGTTCTTGATGAGCCTCTCCAAGTGCAGGTCGGAGATGAACTTGTGCTTGATGTTCAGCACCATAAAAGCAATATTAGCATTACGGTTAAACAGTGAAGAACGTCCAGTGTAAACTACACATACACCAACTGTTCGTAACATCACTGATAATAATTTATATTAAAGTCTAATTTTTATGTACTGATCAAAAAGGCTATTTTACTGTTTTAAGAGTTGGTAGACTTGTCCATCCAACGGACAGACTAAAATGGGCACTGCAAGGGTATCTTACCAAGCAGTTTTGGTTAAGTATTGCTGGGGCTGCATCTAAAAATCTCAGGGCTAGCTACTGCAGCAATAGTAGAAGTGGGACAGATTTCTATTGGTGCCCCATCATCTGTTGTGAAAGAAAGGCATTTTAGATGCTTTATGTCAGAAGTAAATAGCTGTGACTGTGTAGTCCTTGTTTCACAAGCTTTGGTTCTGCTTCTTGGTAGTCAAAGCATCCTACGTAAGTGCATGGAGATGTTATCCTAGTAAAAAGGACTGTAATAGCATTCCAACTGCAGCATCACGTGGTCATGTTGCATGTAATTATAAAAGGCTATAAATGAGTGCTGTAAACTAAGTCTAGCTATGTAGTACAAGGTAAAGCCAGTAAGCCTTTTGGAGTTTCTTACAGAGTCATATTTCTGGTAATATAAACTTTTTCCTCTTAAGAAAGCTGATACAATTAATTACAGCAGCCACCACAAGCATTTGTATACTGTTCTTCCATGCAGTTATAACAGCATTTCTTTATCTTTCTTAAATCTTCTATTCAGATGAAAGACTCAGCATTGATTCTATTTCTCAGCATTGATTCTATCCCTCTAGCTACAGGGAAGAGAGGAACAAGGTATTTCCGTAGTGAAGCATTAAGCTTCTTTTTAATATTGTTGCTGTCCATTCCCTATACAGCACACTTCTGCAATGTGTCCTTAACAAAAGCCTGTAGAAGAGGCATTCACAAACAGCTTTTCTAGTCTCATTGTATGCAAAATCATTGTGTACTCTCCCTTAGGTGAATGTTTTAGGCAGGCTAGCTGGGATCACCTTCAGGGACTGAGTAGTTCTGTTGCGGCCACAGGTGTCTCAGCCTGCAGCTCTTGGATTGCTGTAATAAATCTCCTTCTAGAACAGGGAAGGACAGGTCTCCAGTTTATTTTGAAAACAGAAGTGGTGATTAAGATCTCTTAAAATTAACCAGATACCATCCCATATTCAAAGGTTACAATGCATAAGAAAATCTAAGAGTAGGACAGAGGCTCTTCAGCGTTGTTTTTTCCCCTGTTTTTACCTGTGCACATGCTAGAGCAAACAGGAAGTCCCCACCCATTGCAAGCTCTTACAAGTTATTTTCTCTTTTTAAACCATGGCTGTTAACAAGGAAAAGATTGAGTCAAGCATAAGTCTGATGCCTGGTAAGCTTCTGGAAGTATTCTTTCATTATACTCAAAACACTGGAAGAAATTACAAGCACTTGTACTCGTTATGCACAAGATCCCTTCCTTCACGAAGAGAACAGTTGCCATCATCTGTCATTTACATTCTAAATGACAGTAGCAATAAATCAAATGGAAAAAAAGGCAAACAGTTTAAATAAAATATTTAATTGCTTATTTACAACAAAGGCAATGACTTGGCAAAGTGGAAAGTACGATTTGCACTTTCCCCCTAGCTTCAGATAGAGCAAATACAGTCAGCTATAAAATAGGCAGCCTAGTGAGTAAGGCGCAGTATTTACATCACACTAGTACTGCAACATAAGCACTTAAGATGAATCCCACTGTGACAGACAGAAGTTAAACATTTATCCTGTAAACGCCAACAATGCTGGGAAAAAAAACAATGATGTGTCACTTAGTGTTCTCAATTTGTAAGACTGCAAACATGCAATAGTACTAAAAACCCAGTAATGGGATTTTTAAAAAAGCAGCTGCTTTTGTCAGTTTTGCAAACTGTTTTGATACAAATTTACTCTTCCTTGGTCTAAAATATAATGCTTGAGTAACTCCAGTATTAGACTAGCTACTTAATTTTACCTTAGCAAAGGTCTCTTCTCTGGGACACACGCACAAATGAATTATTACGTTTGAATAGGCTATACTAGAAGCATAATACAATAATCACAGATACAAATTTATGAATACAAACTACCACAGGCATCTTGTTAAAGCACGATATGTTAACGGCTTAAAAATTTAGGTGTTAAAAGGATTTATTGCAGCCAAAACCAAAGAAGTCAGTTTTGTTTTCGGTGTAATTTTTGACATCCTTTATTCCCCTCTCCTTACTGTTATTCTAGGATAGGAAAAAAAGCCAAATACGAAGGTACTAATCCAAAGCTTACCTACCTGGCTGTACACTCTGAATGCAAAAGACTGACAAATTAAGAGGTACAAGAACAATAGTTAGGCCAACTGTATTTTATGGTGAGAACCAACAGGGAATGCTTTTTCTTTTTTTAACTAGACTTTTTTTTTTTTTTTAACTGATGCTTTGCAATAATTATCTTAATTGAGGGGATTTTATTTAACTATGCTAGCATGGGAAGAAGATGGCATGTGCACAGAAGTTATATGTCATCCACACACCGTTCAAGCCTTGGGGTATGTAGTTAATATCATCAATAAGAAAACCAAAATCAATATAAAGAGTTTTTTTCACTGCCCTCCTTAAATTACATTCTCAAAATTAACCCTTCCCACTGCTAGTAGCATTTACGTTTTGTGTTTTGAAGAGCACAGCATGTTTCAAGCGTTTCTCTTGTCTTAGTAGAAAGGAGGACAGATGTATCAATGTCTGGCAGTTCAAGGATGTGATTCCTGAATTTCTGCAGAAACTTTTACAGTGTGCGTTTTATATTCGTTGGGTACTCAGGTTGGTTACAGTTACATATGTAACTGTCAGTTACAGCCGTATCCTCCTCCTGCCTGCACAGTAGCTACTCCATGCTATCCAACTTCCAGGGCTAACAGTATGTGCTAACCGAACGTATGAGGCGAGAATATAACAGGCTCCTTGACACGTTCAAAAAAGGTGAGTCTAACTTCTATCCAAAGCTTTCTCTGATGAATTGTGCATTAGTTCAGGCGATTCCGCAGTGTCCCGGGTAGCTGAAGTGTTATAAATACCATCAACTGCAGGGACTGTTGTTGGTGTTGTGAGAGGTGTCACAGTGTGTCCAAACCCCTGGTAATGACCCATAGGTGATGATGGCATCGAAGAAGCATCAGAAATTGGGTCTTGAGTAGAGGAGGATAGTAAACTTGTATGCTCATTTTGCTCATGATCCTCAGCAAAAAACATTTTTCTTGGCTGGCCCAGAACCGTCCTTCCTGGAGTTATATCAAACAAAAATAACACCTTAATGCTTAGAACAGTACATCAAGGTCTTCAAACAGACACTAGCCTAGGCAAGTTGGAATTAGAAGTCTAGTCTTCAATTCAGAACAGTTCTATGTGGGTAATGTTATCTTCAGTTAATGAAAGGATATCCTTCCAGTAAGGGAAAGAAGGGGGCATAAGTAAAAGACATTCCTCTCTATTCCAGCTAAATACCTGAATCCCTTGGATCTATGTGAAAGAAAAATTCAGAACTAGACAGTTAACTCACAGGATTACTGGGACAATGTAGTGCAAGATACCTGATGAAATGCTCTAAGGATTCAGCTGCCACTAATTTGGTATGGGATGTTCTCAAGGAACTGTAGAGATGGCTAACAATGCAAAATGAAGCTGGAAATACATAGGCTGTTTTACAGATAATGAAGATATGTCTGTTACTTACCAACATTTCGAACTTGTTCTGATATATCTGCCCTTATATCAGAAATATCCCACATTGCTAGAAAGGAGTCGAAGCATGACCCTTCTTCAGCTTCTTGAACATAAGGTTTATAGGAAAAACTGTAGTGATGTGCGATAGCAGCTAGAAACATTTCAACACAAATGATGAAATCCTGCAACAAGGAAAGAGGTATTAACTAAAACTTGATCACTCGTATCTGGAGAAAAGAGTTCTTCATTAAATGACTGACAGTAATTGCACTGGGATGTTGGCATCTACTCTTAAACCAGGGATAGGACATTCTTGGCAGACATCAGAGTGCAATCCTTTTGATTTAAATGCAGGAACCAGTCCTTGCTGAATCTACTGTCTTGGTGGAAGTTGTTCCTTCCAAATAACACGAGCAGGGATAACGTGGATAGGGAAGTGTTGAGCATAAAACTCACTTGGGGTGACTGGCTGAGACGTAGTCCAACTTACTATAAATTCAGTAGTAATCGAGCCTATGCTAGGTAAGATATGTTAGTATTTGCTTGAAATCATCTTACATAGAGTGATTTCTCCTATAAAGTCATGGTCTTTGCTCCTACCTGTAGGCCTGTAGCCACAGCTTCCACGCTCTGCCATTCCCAGGTGTGTTTCTCAGAAATAACACCAACTTTCACCAGCAATGCAATAAGCACAGCTTGCCTATAAAAGTTATTAATTATTGTTATAATAGTGTTGCCTACAAACCTCCAAGCAAATCTGGTAAGCAAGGCCTACTTTGAAGTATACTTGTGTATGTATATACTAAGAATCTTATTTAAAAAAAAAAACCTTGCTGTTTGTTTAGGTTTTAAATGAAGGGAAAGAGAACAGGCTAATGTTAAAATAATAGAATCACCAAAATGGGGATAAGACCTCCAGTCCAACCCTCCACCTACCACCAATATTCCCTCAATGTCTTTGTTCTAGTGAGGTGCTTAAACCTGAATGCAGTACAGTATTTACTCATAGCCCTTAAGACCCAAAGAGAAGACAACTTAAGAGCTTGTTTTTTCCAGTTCGTTATTAGAACAACATGCTTTTTTAACAGAGTGTTACTGCACCACTCTGAGAGCAGGAACTAACTAGTAAGTAATTAACTTACCAGAAAGAAACAAAAACTACCATCTTCACACACAGGAACTTTCCAACAGGTTGGATAGGGTTCAGTTCTTCACGTAGTACCTTATAAAACAGCACTAAACAATACATAGCAAACTAACAAGGAAATAAAAAAAAAAAAAGCTTTTAAATATTTACTTGATTTGTTTACGACTTTTTCAGTAATAAAACACATCACAGTGTGGAACAGAAGTTGTCTTTTGAAAAGAAAGTCTGTATTTAGGGAATGTGTCCTTACTGCATTAAAGCAGGCTTGTTTTTTCCTTTCTGAAATTTTGTTTTAGAATTATATCATCAAAGACTGAGGTCATCTACCTACAAAAGCCATTTTAAATACAGAAGCTAAAAGAAAGTGTAGGAAGCTGCCATGTCTCTCCAAAACCAAGTGCAGCTCTACAGCAATTGCCACAAAAAGCAGGTGTTCTTTCAGACATCTGTTAAGAACATCTGAGAGGTTGTCTCTTTATAAGAAAAGGTAAATGACTGCAGTCTTTGCTGCAGATTTGAACAATCTAGACTGCAAGCAACCAAGCTAATATATAGCCAAACTAAATTGATCTCTTTTCACTGATAATTCTCCCAGCCTATTACTGCTAAGTTTCCTTAAGCCATCATGTCAACCTGAACGTGCAGAAGTCAGTGCAGCTGCTGGGACTGTTGTTGCAGCAGAAAGCAGCTGCAGCTCATGAGTTAACCAACAGTCACCCAGCACACACAGACACAGCATCAGGACGAAACCCTTTTCAGGTGGAATGTCGTGCTTTTTCTAAACCTGCTGCAGAAGTGAGTATCCTTTTCCCTTGAAAGGCTAATATTTGCTTAGAGGGTTTTAAAAAAATCTTGTTTTTTTTTTTTTTCTTTAAAGGTTGCATGCTCTGTTTCCAGTTTTCAAAGGTTGTTCCCCCCACCTTTGTAACAGTATTTTTAACAAAGTCACTGCAGAATCTTTGTATGGGTGCTGGGAGGAAGCTAGGATGCGTGGGTCAGACCAGATCATCAAACAGTTTGGGGTAGAGAGGTGGGACACCTTACTGTTTCATGGAGTTTAGGAGTTGAAACATTTTGCACAAACAGTATTGAAAAAGATAATAAGAATAGAATTACAGTGAGATATTCTAGCTATAATAATGATTTGACATTCATGCAATTACTCTCAATAGCTCACATAAAAAGAATCACATATTATTAATATGATGACTTAAAAGAGTAGAAGGATGCACTTTTGATACTCACTAGCTGTGACATGTTGTTCAGTATAACCAAGTAAGTCCAAGCGTTGTCAAAGCTGAAGTTTCCTTCATCATACACACCTACTAGTTCACAAATTCTGAGAGAGTTTTTAGAATTAGTGACCAAGTAATACATTAACAGTTTCTTAAACTGTTAAGCCCACATCACATTAAACAACTATTAGAACTGTTCTGGTTGTCAAACGCAGACAGTGAAGGTCTGCACAATCATTTTTCAACAAATAAATTAAGTAGGTACTGTATTTCCACAGAAGAAATTGTGTTTGCATACCATAATGCATATAGGTACATGAAATTTTGCTTTCTGGCACAGCAAATGAGAAGGGAAAATGCAAAGTTAGCAGATGCCATTGCTGAATAGATCAAAAAAAATAAACCTCACATTTTTAGCTGCTTTGCTTCTAACTGTTAGAACACATCATTAATACAAATATTTACTGGATATTCTTTGTGAATAACAGCTTTTTCACAGGCCTACAGAATTGATCAACGGATCAACAATACCAAGTTTATGAATTTAAGCTTTCAACATCAGTTGGCTTAACTGCCTGCTACTCCTTTACAACAACAGTTCTATGATATAAGGGCAGAAAGTCAGGCTTATCACATGTAAAGTTTAATACAACCTACAAAATTACATGAAACCTGACATTAGAAATACATGGTTGTTAAAACCAGGAAGGAAGGAGGAAGAAAAGAGAACTCTAAAATTGAGACAATTGTATTCTAAAATGTCCTTCCCACGTAAACAGTATTTTACATCCTTTTCCACTTCTTTCAGCTGTGGGCATTAAGTATTTATTATTTCAATTCTGCAAAAAGGCATTTGCTGTAGAGAAGCCATAAAGAAATCAGAGGCTGTTGCAAATTGCAAGGACCCATTTAGAACGCAACACAACGACTTTGCTTTCAAACTGCATTGATTCAATACAAAGGGCATGAAAATCATTGCCAGTGTAACTCAAAATTATGTCCTAAAGACCAATATACATTATTTATGGGTGTACTTACAAAGCAATAATAGTAGTAAACGGTCTGACAACAGTGTACTGCAAAACACCGAGTTTACACCTAAATAACAGAACTCTGCAAAACAAATGGAAAATTAATTGTACAAGAATTTAAAGACAGTTGACTCATGGAAAATTCCTTTTCTCAGTTGTTTCACTAAACTGCATTTTTATTTCACGGTGACTTGAACTTAGCTTATTTCCAGAACTTCAATTGTAAACGTATTTTGTGCATACAGACAATCAAATAGACCTGGACTTTACAGATGCATAACATTAAATACCTGGTAATTCACTTCCAGCCACAAAAAGATTCTGGCTGGGCTAAACAAAGAGAATGAAATTGTCCCTGCATTTGGGTATGTTTAGGAGTTGCGTTCATAGTTTGTGTTTAACATTTTTAAACAGCTTTAATGAAATCTCTTGAGAGGAGGAAAATTGACTCTGCTCATCTGAGTAAGTATACAGAAATGAGCAGCTCATGGGCATATGGCCTCTCTTTTCTCAGCTATGGAAATACAAACACTATGCTGTGTGGTGTCACTGAATCAAAATGAGGCTTTGGCAAACATTCTATGATAGCAACGGAAGGAAACTTAGAAAGACTTCAACATTTTTCAAAAATAAGGAAGTGTTCCTCAGCAGCACTGGAGTCAACATTAGTAAGTGTCATTTCTAGCATCTTTTACTGCTAGATGGAAACACGCTCGTCCCAGCTGCTTTCAGTCAGAGTTCATCTGAGGAACGAGGTGTGCAAACCATAAACAGACTATTGCCAAGCAGCAACAGTACACTACTAAATGCAAAAAGATCTGTCTCTGACTACACAGCTTAACATCCAGTATGTCATCAAATACTCACTCTCCCATAGCCCACGATGGACAACAGCACAGGGGAGGCAGGTGTCTCTGCTGATCTTTCGCTTCTATTATTAATACGAGGTTTGGATATCGGTTGGTTAGGTAATTTGAAAGAAAAACCATAAAATTATAGATGACATAAGCTTCATAGCATTCTCGACATGTATCCACATATATTGCAATGTTGGGGTATTTCAAAGCTATCCACTGCAAGAAGAAAGGTACACAAGAAGTTACACACTAGAAAGGCAGAAGTGATTCCAATGACAATGCTGGCAGGCTACTTCAATAAGCAATGCTACAATAGACAGGAAGCACTAATTAAACAGAACTCAAAGTAATTTGTCTGGCAAGAGTGTGATGCTACTGACAGAAAATTACATTTTCTAAAAGTACAAGTGGAACTTTAGATGGCATCTCTGCTTCTTCAAATGAAAGCAAGCTTATAGCACTGCACAAGGGGAGCTCTGCATCTCTCAACACAATTCAATCTTTTAAATTAAAGGTAACTATGGAGATGGTTTCCTATAGCTGACCTACTCCTATTAAAAAGAGACAAGGTAGAACAGCTTCCTCAAATTCACACGTTCACAGTCAAAGTTTGTGAGGTTGGAACTAGATATCTTTAAGGTTCCTTACAATCTAAGCCATTCTATGAATATTGATTTCAAAAATAACTTTTTAGTCCTTTGGTACAAAGTTCATGTCTAATGCATAAATATTCTAGTGTGTTTGTAGCTGTAGCAGAAATACTAAGTCATGGTATGTAGCAGTGATTGAGCACCTGGTGGGAAGGCAGGGCCAACCCATGAGAGCTCAGGTGCATGCAATGTACCTGAGTGAGCAGAAGGGGTGGAGCCAGGATCCACCCCTTTGCAGAACTCATTTAAGGACTGGCAGGGGAGGCAAGAGCATCTTCTGCTGCTCATTCCTGTGTATCTGGCTAGCTGAAGGTAAGCAGCTTCTTTTCTTTATTTGTGTATTCATGGCTGCTGCATTTGAGCAAATTCTTACTCTCTGCAGCCTCGTATCTTGCTGCTCTGCTGTCATTGCTGCACTTCCCATTGCATTACAGCACAATACATGACAGCAGTTAATTAGCCTCTAAGAGGTAGTTGGTCATCACTCCAAGCTAGCATTTCTAACAGAAAAAAACTGAGGTTTATTTTTTTGTTTTGTTTTGCTTCCCAAACAGAAGGAAGTATTTTGAGTTTACGATGCTTCCAGAAGCGTAGCAGAGTGAATACTGTGCCTTTTAGACCAACCTTCTTATTAGAACTTCAGGAAGATGCTTAACATGCTCATTCTCATTATGAACTGCTAGAAGTAACATCTCCTGCCACGTCTTTGTGGACATCTAGTTGAATTTGATAACTGAGCTTTATATTCAGCTCTAAAATATCATGCATACAGTAAAGGCTGTAAGATCCAAGAGCTTGGGGAAAGATTTTAATACCCGTCAGAAGCACTGGGGAATACCTGGATAGAGCTCATGTAATTAGCATGCATTTTGCTTCTAAATGAAAATAACTGAAATATCAGTCTGAGGTACTTGATATCTCCTACAGGAAACAGATAATGCTGCTTCCTTTAAAAAAGTACATGAAGGTGACACTTCATGTAATCTGAGGACATGAGAAGGGGAAAAAGCTCAAAGGATAGGTTCCTGGAAACCTGTCTTCTATGGAGTCAATGTAAGTAACAACAATGTCAAGAGGTGGCAATAATATGTAAACACACACCCTGTACATACAATCCATGGAATTGTTGTGCTGCTTAGCTCTATCCAAAATCATCTATGCAAGCAGCAACAGATGACACATACACAAACAACTTGCAAGGCTACTTGTCATATAAAAATACTCAGAAGTGGCTTGTTGTGAAGCCTTGTTCTTTCTCCCCAAGAAGGAACATTAGCACTAAACTTTTCTTGGTAAAGAATTTTAGTGCTAAGCCTAATGCAGGGAAGAAAGGTAAGGCTCTGAATTTTGACACTGCATTTGTATCAGGCTGGTCAACGGGTTTCCATTTCAGCTGTTATTGAAAATGGAAGAACCAGAAGTAAGCACTTAACTCCATTTCCAAAGCACTGAAAGAATATTCAAGGACTGAGAGGGTTAAGAGGCTGCAAAAGTGATTTTACAGGATTCCCAACTAGCATGTAATACTGTTAGAACACTTCTGATGTACTCCATAACACATAAATAGAAGCTTCTAGGACTACAACTTGGTGTGCAGCACTGTTTCTGCTGTGACACCATTTTCCCTAGCTCCCATAGCAAACAGTTTTATTGAGCTGTTAACAGTAAGAAAACACTTACACTGTCTAAACTGTAAATCGGCACCATCCACAGAATCCTGTTACAAGAACAAAAGAACACTTAATGTTACTAGAGATATCTTTCATTCGAATTAAATTCAATATTTGCAGCAGAGATAAAAGGTGAGATGTTACCTTATTATTGGTTTCTGCAATTCAGGTTGAGTATAATGGACTAAGTGTTGTAGTATTCCCCAGAGGGAGATGGGTATGGTCATCAGTAGAAATATCCCTGCAATAAACCATGCCTTGGTATGGATTCCAACCTTGCAAAGAGAAAGAAGAGTGCAAGATCTAAGTTCTGGAATCAATTCTTTAAGACAGGTAGAACAAGAGATTGGTTTTGGTTTTGTTTTGTTTTTTTTTTTTCTTTTGCCTGTGAATTATGTTTCAAGAAGGATGCTCAGCGTGTATTCCAACACTGAGTTTTCTGCTTTTGAAACGCATAGAACCACCAAGTCTCCGTCGCTATCTGTGGATCCCGTGCTCGTTCCACCAGCTCGGCGTCTGCTCTGCAGGTACTGAAAGAAGGGGAAGGAGGGAACGGCCGCCCGCTGTCCCGTTCCGCCCCGCTCCTGCCCTGGCCGACAAAGCATACACACACGGGCCGGCCCGGGGCGCAGCCGAACCCCCGGGCCGCTCTGAGGCTCAGCGCCTCTGTTCTGCCGCGGAGGCCGCTTCCCCCCCACCCCGAGCCTCTCACCTCCAGTTTCTGCAGCTCCCACACGCAGAGAGGCACGACCACCAGCAGCCCCACGATGTACAGCAGCACCACCAGCGGCCGGATCCATCGCCTCCAATTGCCGCAGGTGCACGGCATGGTCGCTCCGCTCGGGCCCCGCGGCGCCTCAGCGGCTCGGCGCCGGGCCCGGCAGCCCCCGCGGGGCGCGCATCACCCGCGCAGCCTGCCAGGCCTCATCCGCCGCCCCGCCCCGCGGCAGGCGACTCCACGCCGCCCCCGCCAAGCGACGCAACAGCCCACTCTGCTCACCGCCACCCCGCCCCCGCGGCACTTCCGCCGCGCGTCGCTTCCGGCTCCCCCACTTCCTCCTATTGGCTGCTCGTTCTGCCCATCGCTGGCCCCTTCCCTCCGAACCGCACGTGGGCCGGCGCCCGATGTTTCTCCTCGAGACGCTGCACGCGCAGCGACCGTTACTTCATCGCGGTGACGGCTGTGCGCGTGCCCGCGGCGCTGCGCGGGCGGGTCGCCGCTGCTGGTGTTTGAGGGGGTTTTTTTTTTGTTTTTCCCTTTCTTTTTTCTTTTTTTTTTTTTTTTTTTCTTTTTTCCTTTCATTTTTGCTCAGAATGCTCCAGAAGAGCAATATGGATGGCGCAAAGTCTGTATTACGTTTCCACAATCTGTGGAACGCGCGTTTCAGACTGAGTGCAAAATGCTGAAGCACAATTCCGCGGCTGTGCCTGGTGAAGCACAAGAGCTGAGGTGCCGGGCTGTGCTGGCACAGTCGGAGGCATTTTTCTGTGTGTTTGAGAAGCGTGTGCTGGAAGGAACCGCACGAGGTGCTAAAGAACGGTGACTTGGCTCTCCTCTGTAAATTCCAGACCGTTCAAACTCATCTCCGTTGTTTGCCCAGGCTTTCTGGTGTTACGTTACCGAAGCTGGGAGGACTCAAATAGCACAGCTCTCTTTTGAAATGGGTTGCATTGATGTAGCAGCTGGTAGTGGTAGCCAGCGGCTCCCACAGTTGATGACAATTCAGCCCACAAACCAGCAGTTAAACGATGTTTGCTTACCAAGAAGCTGAGACTGTGCTGTCAGGCTGCTACATGTTCCTTCTCCATCCAACGTCTGAGGAAGCAAAGCTAGAACTAAGTCGACATTGATATTCTTAGTCACTGGTAGGTTCCCTTGCAAGTGAGTGTGGAGTTGTGTGGCCCTTTTCTTTTGCCTATTTCCTTTAGCTTCCTTTCCTTACCTCGAGTTCAAAAGCATGTTCTGAGTTAGTTACCCTGGTGGCAGCCCTGCCTACATTAAGAAGTCCGATATGCCAAACGCCATTGGTTTTTCTATTAGTCAGTGAATGAGCTACAAATTTAAATTTATGGATTAAAAAATGTGGCAAGAGAACTGGAAGGTCATCCCTGTGTTATGGACGAAATAAAAATTCAGTGGAATTTGCTTAAGGTTATGGCAGACTCGTCAGCAGAAACTTTTTCACTGATAATGGCGCTAACAAACAGTACTTCCCACATTGCTTTGAGGTGAAATACTACGTTTCTGTATTGTATTACCACATTAGTATTAAGGAGCCTGTTCTGCTCACCTCTTGTGCCTCGCGAACTGTTGGTAAAATGGTACGAGATGTCAGTAAGAAGCTAACCTGTTCAGTCATGCAGCGTCTGATGCACGGACTCAGATGAGAATGATCCAAATCATTTATCACAAGTTCTCACATCACTTATATAGGTTCACAAGTTTTCTTTTTCTAGCTTTCCTATCTGCTCCTACAACTTTCCCATCCACCTTTACATGCCAACAGAGCATTCTACAAACTCTCTTTAACCATTCACACAGGTGCTTATCAAGTCAGAGCCATGAGACGTTCTTCTTCTAGAGGTGTCCTTGGTTCTCGTGCTGTTTATCTTGCTCCACAGCTTCTGCTCTGAACAGTTTTTCTTGTATTCCCACAAGTCAAACAGAATGAGTGTCTAGGTACAAATGTTTTTCTTAAACATGTAGCAAATATAAAACCAAGAGTTTTCAGAAAAGCAGATAATGCAACCACTGAAGTACTAGAAATAAATATGAGTACTTATCTATAATTAATATATTTAAAATGGCAAAAACCAATTTACATTATTAATGAATGTATGCATTGTTTACAAAGAACTTTGGATTTTTTCTTATTTTCCCAGTAATTTGGTTCTTTGAAGGCTAAGGACTTTGGGTTGTTGCTGTTGTTATTTTCGGTGTCGTTATGTTGTTTTCTTTTGTTTTCAGTTTTCCTAAGAATATGAGGCTGAGACTTGGTCTCTTCCTGACAAGTTCTCATATCGTTTGTAGCACTCAGGGTTTCTTCAGCATTAGTATTTTAGGAGAAAGTTTTTCACACAGAGGGTGGTGACGCATTGAAACAGATTGCCCAAGGAGGCTGTGGGTGCCCCATCCGTGGAGGCAGTCCAGGCCAGGCTGGATGTGGCTCTGGGCAGCCTCGTCTGGTGGTTGGCAACCCTGCGCAGGGCAGAGGGGTTGAAACTTGATGACCATTGTGGTCCTTTTCAACCCAGGCCATTCTATGATTCTAATATTATGTACAGGGGATTTAGGTCAGACGTTAGACAGAAATATTTAACTCAGAGGGTGACAAGGCAGTGGCACGGCTGCCCAGAGAGACTGTGAGTGCCCCATCCCTGGACTCAAGGCCAGGTTGGATGGGGTTCTGGGCAGTCTGAGCTGCTGGGTGGCAGCCCTGCCCACGGCATGGGGTGGAGCTGGATGGACTTAAAGGTCCCTTCCAACCCAAGCTGTGGTTACCTTTGTTCAGGACTCAAGCCTTGCTGTAGATACACACTTATCACAAGCATAACACACATCAGTCACTATAGGCTAGTTCCAATTAATCTCATATTAGAAGAGCATCAAACATTAGACTAGAAAACCTAATAAATATTTTCAATCTTGCTGTCTTTGAGAAAGCTTTTGTACAAAGTGAATCAGAAGTAGATACGTTTTGTTCTTTTTTTTTTTTTTTAAACCACAAATAAGTGAGTAGTACTCAAACAACTTTGAAAATGCCAGCACTTTACAAGGGCATGTGAACAGAAATGAGAGGTGAGACAATCGTTCTGTTTTGCTTAACTGGAATAGTGTGCAAGACCAATAAAAGGAAAAAATGTATGTACTGAGAAGCAACTAGGATGATCAGAGGTTAAAAATACAAACATACAAGTTCTATCAGGAAAGACTAAAATATTTGTGTTTAAAATACTTATGTTTAGTAAATGAGAAAACATTTGCCGCCAAGAAAAAAATAAGTTTCATTATTTTTGATGGAATGGCACAAGCATGCTGAAATTGCAGCAAGGGAAATTAGGATATTTAAGCACTGGATCAGGTTCATTACTGTGATTTCCACTCTTGATGTTTTTTTTTTTGAAAATCTCCTTTAACTTCATGTCCCAGAAATGATCCTATTTTGATCAAAAATAGGAATTTCTCCAACTTATGAGGTTCTCTTCTTCTGTTGTAGTTTTAGGCAATACTTTTTTCACTACCGTCTCTTAACAGAACTGAGGATGTTCTGTCTTTATTGTGCCAAGCTTCCACTGTCAAGAACCAATTCTACTCTGAAATAACTTCATAGACCAAAGTGACTGAAACAGAAGTGAACATGAATTAATAATACGGTCCTCTGTAGCATAAATGCTAAGTCACATCTTGATCCAGTGATTGAGCACCTGGTGGGAAAGCAGGGTCAACCCAGGGGAGCTCATGTGCATGCAATGTACCTGAGTGAGCAGAGGGGGTGGAGCCAGGATCCACCCCTTCCCAGAGCTCATGCAAAGGCAGCAGTGTGGAGGCAAGGGTGTTTTGCCTGAGATCCTTGTGTACCTGAGGTCTTCTGAAGGTAAGCAGATTTTGTTTTGTTTCTGTGTTTACGGCTGCTACATTTGAGCAAGTCCTCGCTGCAGCCTAGGACTTCGCTGCTCTGCTATCATTGTTGTGCATTACATTGTGTTACAGCTCTGAAAATGTAGTTTTAAGGTGAGGTGGTAGTTGTCTCTTGGTTCTGATTCAGCAGTGCAGGAAATACAGGCTGATTGAATTCATATTGTTGCACATGAATATATGTTTTTTGAGCGTTGTGCTGATGCATAAGAGATCCCTTTCACAAGTGTTGGATAGGTTTACTGTGAACTAGCACCCTTGTTTGAGAGTAGTGCTATCTCCAGAGTATCCACAGAGCCCCTTGTTTTCAGCAAGGAGATATGAGTGAGATACTACTCAGAGAAACAAACTGACAGAGTTCATCTTCACTATTAAGACTTCTAGCACTAGAGAAATGAGCAACAAAGCTACACTCCAGAGCTTGAAGTTAACAGCTGTTTTAGTACCATTCTCCACTATCGAAGAGACTGAGGTGTATTACTGCTGATGTCAATCATGTGTACATTCTGCTTTCATGAATTTCAAATTTATTTAAAAGAGAGTTATGTTGGAATATAATAAATGAGGATTATTCTTCAGTAGGGAAACCTATAAATAATTTGTTAAGTTAAAACAGAAAAGAAAATAGACTGTTTTATAATTAGAGCTGGAAAACTTTGAGGCATATTTTATTCATGAATTAGATTTTTATTTATATGCCAATAATTTCCTAGGTTTCCTCATTTTTCTTTACTTTGTTTTATACAAGTGTTTACCCTCAGTGAGAATTAGGCTGCCTGCTTGGTGTACTCAGGATTTCAGTGTTGGGTGGCCAGGATTAAATTCAAATTCTCGTGTAGTCAAATTTGGATTTCCCTTCTTGTACTGTGGTAGCATTACTGCCGGCCTTTAAGAAGGTGTGCCTCCATTAGAGCGCTGCTGATTAGTTCAACCTTCACTCACAGCAGCAACATTACTAATGCATTTTTATTTCATTTCATTAAAACTTAATGAGAGTTAAAAACTCAGTGTGGTTTCTTGAGTGTTACCAGTACTAGGCTTTTTTCTTTTTGTAATCAAATGTCTGTCACATTTCTATCACAGAACTGTCATCAGTTCTAAGAAATTGATATTCCTTGTGGAAGTGCTGCCATAGCATTCTGATTACTTCGTTGCCTCTTTTGTGGATGATCACTGAAGCTGTTGTTCAGCTCCAGAAGCATTTGTAGCCATCAGTTTGGGTGATGATTTACGATGTGGCTTCTTTGTTTTCGAGATCACACAGATTTTTATTTTTTTAATGTTAGCTACCTGGGGACTTGTTAGCCACTTACTATTGCTGGGCTGTTTGGCATTTTATAGCACAAGCTTCTGTTTCAGTGAGTAGAAGTGTATTTGCTTAGCCAAGTTCTGCCAGAGTTTTATTCATTTGTGTGAGATGTCTCAAAATATACTAAGCAATGTAACTAGCAGGGGCTTTGTAAAAGGAGGGGATGAACATGAAATGATCAAGTATAAATAACCCTGATAAACAAATCCTCAGAAGGGCTTATCTATCATTCCTGTGTTTTGTATAGAGGGAATGCATGCAGAGTGTTTGGAAATTCAGCAAGATGATTACGAAGTCGTCTTGCCATTTGGTTCTCAAAAGAATAGCCTTCCAGCTCTGTCAAATTCAGTAACAAAAAAATCTTTTCAAACTGTTACCAGGTATGGTAACATATTACCATATAAACGTATTGCATTCAGAATTAAACAAATCCAGTAGATTAGTAGAGAGGCAGTCTCCAGTGTAGCTCAGGTAGTACTTGTCCTTACAGCCACATAATACCAATTCAGAACGTAAGTTTGTGACTTGTGATCAGAAGATTGTTATCTCTTGTTTTGTAATTACAGCATTGAAGTACAATATACGCACCCATTTGCGATTGAGAACAGTTTTTATTTCTTGTACATCTCTCTTTGTTCATTGCTCTTATACGACAAAATATGTGGGACCTGCCTATGTTCCTCAGCAGTGGAGAAATGAGTGGACTTCCCTTCTTCCCTTTCCACCTAGTTTTTATCTCAACTGGACTGAGATGGTAGCATTGCCAGGTTTATATCTTGAGCATGAGTCAAACAGCAGAAGATCATGAAGCTGAAACTAGTGATTCTCTTAAGTAAGTTCTGATTTTTTGAGTCTTTGGAATAGGTATTGTCTGTCCTGACATCATGTTTGAAAAACGTATTCTCTTAAATCCGTGAGTAGTATTAGTAGAAAATATTTATTCCGTACTAATATGGCTTTAAGCACTTTGACCATGAGCAAAATACCAAAAATATATGGGCAATAAAATTTTTCTACACCAACTGGAAGTGATTCAGGAAGGGAAAAGAATAATATGAACTTAAACATGAGGAAGGAGTAAAATGGAAAGGTCATCTCCACCATCACCTACATCTGACCTTCACAGTATCAGCTTCTGCTGTGAAACTCTGCTTTTATCTGATTCGTATTGGCCTGAGGGAGGACTGCTACAGCATGATGCAGGTGCTCAGCAAGCAAACAGTAATTCAGCTGTTCAGGGATGTAGTACTGCATTTACAGTTCTGTTCCTTTAAGGGACAAACTTGATCTGCTATTTCCAACTGAGAAGACAGACGTGATAAATATGATAATATCTCAGTGATCAGAGAGTGAGAAATATGCTCAATGACTTTGCAGCTGTACAAAACTGAATTCACCCAGGGAGGAGTATCTTCAAGATTTTCTCTATGCATGTCCATATGAATATAATAATTACTCATAGACATCATTGTAAGAAGTCACTTGAAACTCTCTAAATAGGATTTTTATAGAATGCTATTTTAACACAAATAGTATTTTGTTTGTTTATCTTGTATTTCTTTTATTTTGATTGCCTGCTCCTTCGAGAGACAGCTGTCTCTTGATTGTAGTATATACCTGACTGGCAAAAAAAACAACTTCAGAACTTTTTTATGGGTTTGTTTTTGTTGCCTGCATTTTTAGCTTTTTTGACTAAGTACCAAGTAATTTGTATAGTCCTTTAGTCATGTTACCCAGGTAAAGTTTCTCAGACGAAGGTGAATACAGATGGTTATTTTCTGTTCGAAATGAAAATAAAAGGGCAAACTGCACTGCTCTTAATTGCATGTTCTAAGTATAGCTAAAATATACATATTGGGAATTACATTCTTGCTTTATATATAGAAGCAATTTTAAAGTCTTCTATTTTCCTGAATTATCTCAGTTTTAAGTTTCATTTTCTTTTAAAATCCCAACTTTGTTCTTTGTTGTTCCATAAAGCAAGAAGCGCGTGCGCTGAAGGATGCCTGATGGTTATTTGTGCAGATTCTAGTGAGGCAAACTGAGTATAAGAGGACGGAATGAATTACCACTAGGTTGTGCTGTTGGTCTAATATTGAGGCTCTTGTATTTAACAAACTGAATTTCAAAACTATCAGCTGTGATGTCAGTATTCTCACTTGGAGTTCTCAGAATAAAAGTACAAAATACATCGTTTTGTAAGAAGAGGAATGCTGAGTTTGAATGATGGTGTTTTTTGGTTTTTTTTTTTTCCTATCATCCTCTGTACTCATGCTTTTTGACACTTAAACCTGGAAATTGTTTCATTTGCCAGGATTTTTGAGAATTTGTTACTTTGTAGCTAACATATTCCAAGTTTGTTTAGAAAGCAGTCTGGTAAGCCCTGCAACAGAACTTACAGGAAATTCTATGAGGGCTGCTCTGAAAATAATGTTCAGAAAGTTCTAATGTTTTGTTCTAATGTTTTGTAGTGTTGACTCATGAAGTCAGAAGCAGGTGTTGGTAGTTTGGAAGTAGAGATTCAGCTTTCCTACCAGTGTTCCCTGTGCAACAGATGACAGCGGTGGGGCAGTCTGACAAAATGGTGCCTGACGTGGATGAGCCTGTAAAGCAGAACTGTCATTGAACTCCTCCGTGCAGAACTGACTGCATCAACTACTGACAATAGTTGATGCTTGCTGAACGTTTTTAGAGATCGAATGTGAGCACAGCAAGGTGGTGGGTAGTGCATTGCAGCAGTGGTGATGGCAATGTGAAAGACAAGCCTCTTTCCAGATGGCCGTGCAAAGGTTTTGCACCATGAAGTGGTGCACAAATTGGATAATGGTGGTAACAAAGTTGAAAAATAGCATTTCATAGCTGAGAATTTGCTCTATCATAGTGCTACTGTGGTCTTTGTATCTGTTGCCATTTTCATGGAAATAAGTAGGAGGCATTACTTTTAGAGCAGCGAAAGTATTATAGCGGTGAAAACCAAAAATATGCTCTGAAGGGGCTGGTAGTTGGCAATCCTTTCAAACTACTAACTGTTCTTACAGACATCCAGAATTACAGAATCCTTCAGCAATGAAGGGAGAAAAAATTCTATTTAAGTTTTTTCTTCTGGATTTTCCATTTTAAAAGTAAAGCTGGAGCATAAAATGTTACAGATTCCTAACATACCTTTATGTTCATGTGGTACAGACAGCACTTTTCACTACTAGTTGTGATTAAGTGATCTAGTAGGCCTATTTTTAATTTCTGTGATTTTTCTAACTTCTGCATCATGCTTGCATAATATTAAATATAGTATTTCCAGTCACTTCCTCTAAATCCACTCCAAAAATGAAGTTTACGAAAGATATGCTTGGGTCATGCCTTCTCAGTTATTTACCTATTGATCTTGCTAATGGTTTGCCAGAAGTGGAAGGCAACACAGCAGATGTTGATATTCTTTGGAAAACAAACAGACAACAGCAAAAAATCCATGAGATAAAGTGTTTTAAATGAGAAAATCTCAATCAAATTGAAACGTGCCAGCGTAACAACTGTTTCTTCTGAAGAGTATGTTTTCTCTCTTAACTTTTGAGAGGCATGAGTTGGTTTCTAATCTGGGAGCCAGAGATTCTTAATTATTAACTACTTAATAATTATAAATCATTATGAAATAC